CAACGACATGCTTGACACCAACTGTACAGCAGAGCGGTACCCACTTGTCCACCTTTTTTCATATTGTATTAGGTGCCTACTATATTTATAGACTTATTAATTTATCAATATTATTATATTAAGTATAAATATATTACGTGTTTTGTTATTAATTAATTTACTTATTCATATTATTGTAAGTACAAGGTACTATATTTCTAAGTATTTTTGAGCGTAGCCCTCTTATACCTAGGTAGGTATATATCATAATTCATAATATTAAATATTTAAATAAATGCAACTGCCAACTGACGATAATGACATTTTAGGCCCCACAAATTTACTCTGCCCTGGGCCCCGCAAATCGTCCGGACGGCCCTGGACATGGCATACCGCATACCTCGCATCCCCCCTGCACACGACTATGGCTTTTATAGGCACCAACTAGGCACTAGCTGTTAGTATTTACATGATTCATCTACGATTTTGATTGTTATAACTTATAACCTACAGGCTATAGGTTTAGTTTAGACGTATAGTAGGTACTAGGTAGATTATATTTCATATTCATAATAGCTACAATAAATGCCATATAGCCAATAGGTATATATTATTATTTATAAATTATAATACTAAGTATTTGTACGATATGCAAGTTGATTATTATTGTCAATAATAAATGTTCTAATATTCTAATATTTACATTACATCATATTATGACGCATTATAATGTAGGTAATATTAATATATTATAAATTATAATATGGTTTATGTTGGCATCTGTTGATTGTAAATAGTCAAAAGTTGAAGTCACCATACATTTATAAGTAGTATATATTTTAAGTTTTAACTATTTATAATAGGTACAAACCTACTCAATATTATTAGTTGTAGGTATCTAATATCTTAATAAAATAAAAACCTCATCTTCGTCTTAATCATATTATGATTCTAAAATCTAAATTATGTTCTTAGTTCATACTTAAAGAGTACATAGGTAATGCTTAGGTAATAGCGTAATGCTGTAGCCTGTAATGGTAATTATAAATTTGATAATTTCCTCACGACTATTTTCGATGGAATAGGACATTTACCTGAAATAATTCAATGCATATATTTTAAAATAAATTCAAAAATTGTCGAGAAAAAACTTATTTTATATGAAAAATGTAACCACATCATACATGTCAAATTTGCATGTTGCCTGGAAATTATGTAGATAATATTGATTTTTAGATTTTGAGCAGAGCTAGGAAACTAGTGGTTTTACTATGGTGTTTATTTATTTATTTTTTATATCCTGTATATTATACAAAATTTCTACCAGAAGGAGGGCTTTGATTTCAACACATAGTACCTACCTTATCTTTTAGCAAATTGGATCAAGATGGTACTTTAGAGAAGTCATTTTTCGATTTTTTCAATGGTTATATAATGCCACTTGAAAAACCATCGAAAAATTACAAAAAACCTCTAAAATTGGGATTTTAATTTCTAACGCTTGGGCTTGGTTTATCAGTTATCACCATAGAAACGAATAAAAAATTATAATATTATAATATTAATTGAACTTAAAGGCTTTAATAAATAATAATAATATAAAATATCCAGACTGACAAACCGTCTCCGCTCAGAATCGTTTTTCTTATACAATGATATTATATCATTGAATTAAAGTTAAATACAATCATTTATAGATTGACCCAATTGTAACCTACTGTACAGCAGAGCGACATCCACTTACCAGCTTTTTTTTTAATACATCGTTAACAGAATTTCCCGTTCAAATTTTAAGATATATATCAAATAAAATTATTTTTTTAAGTAGGTACTACTTTGTATTTTTTGTATACCTTTTGATTTTTATTATATAATTGTTGTAAATTAATTTATAGATACATAGCCGTAAATATTTTGTATTATATACATGTCATTTAAAAAAAAATGTAATTTGGAATTATATTTTCGTTAACAAAGATTATTATTATTATTATTATTTAATTTCCTCTGGTTTATTTTTCCAGGTAGACATTTCCTCCCCGTTTAATAGAATTAAGATGCTACAAAAAAAAAAAAAAAATACAGGTGGAACAAATATTATAAGTAGGTTTCGTTTCAATGGCAAATTTAAAAATGCGGGTAAGTGGATGTCGTTCTGCTGTACAGTAGGTTACAAGTGGGTCAATGAATAATGGATTGTATTAAACTTGATTTCAATGATATAATATATTATATTATAATGATATTATTAATATCATTATAATATAAGAAAAACGATTCTGAGCGGAGAGGATTTGTCAGTCTGGATATATTTTATATTGTTATTATTTAATATAATATCCCGTAAGTTGAATTAATATTATAATATTATTATTTTTTATTCGTTTGTATGGTAATAAACAAAGCGTTAGAATCTAAAATCCCATTTTAACAGTTTTTCGTAATTTGTAGGTGGTTTTTCCGTGGCATTAAAAACTATTGAGAAAATCGAAAAATGACCTATTCAAAGTACCATCTTGATCCAATTTGCTAAAATATAATGTACCTACTACCTACTATATATGTTGAAATCGAAGCACTCCTTCTGGTAGAAATTTTGTATACAGGATATAAAAAAAAATAAACACTGTACTAAATCCACTAGCTTCCTTGCTCCACTCAGAATCTAAAATATACATATTAAGAATCCAGCATCCAAATAGGTATTGGAATATTCATTGAAATTTTCAATCCAGAGAATAAATTCAATAGTTATTATTATTTATTACATTTTTAAATGTCCAAACAAATATGGTTGATTGTATAGTAAATATAAATAAAGTAAATATAGACTTAAAGAATTGTGTTTAGGGATGAAAAAGAATCAGAAACCTTAACATTTTGAAGGCAGAATATCTATATCGATATATTTTTTTAAATCTTTAAATTTTTTTTTAAATTTTATATTTATACTTGATTTTATTTAAACACAACTTGTTATAGTTATTATTATATCATACAATTAATACAACTTATTAATGAATCAATGAAATGATAAAATATGTTACACTGTAAAACAACAATTATCGATATCAAAATATTTGGATACTTATTTAATGTTTCTATAATTCAAAATTTTTTAAAATACCTATGGGGAAACGTGAAATTAAGGGAAATATCCACCACCTTAACAAATGTATTAGTCCGCCATAAATAGCTGTGGAGTGTGGAGGAAATTGTGCTATATATAATAAAAAAACATTATATTCAAGAAAATAGAAATGATAAATAATTATTAATTTACAATGTTTTCCTACTTTGAAATTCACGGTCACGTGAAAACCACGTAGTAGGTACCAGTGTTGTACCACATAGCCTAGGTATGTTCATTGTTCATATTTTCATAATGCAATCCTTTAACCATGGTATAATATGAGAATATTTTAACATTTTGAAAACCATTGTACAACTACGTGTCCCTTGGGTTGGCAACGGTAACAGTGCTAGTAACATCGATTTACCGTGGTTAATTAATCTCGTACCCATTGCCAGCAAACGGAACGTTGGACGTTAAAAATGCCTAAAAGCTATAGAATAGCCAAAAACAATGACATTTTCGATAATTAAAAATATCTTACGAATCGAAAACATAAAGATTTTGGTTTTAAATGTTACTGAAAAAGCAAAACAGATTTATCGGTGCCGGTACCGGAGCGCCGGCGGCCATGTTTCTCGTTTGACCACCACCCCAGTCTGGTGCGCTACGTTCGAATCGCTCTCTTTCCGACTCTGCTGTGCTATCGTCGTGTGTGCCGCTCGTCGATTAAACATTTTTCCACCGCCCGTATCGGCTTCATAGTCTTCTGGAGGATTTTCATCCGTTCGAATCTGAAATTTTGATCGCAAGTCATCTATAAACGGTAAGTTAAACTATTTGATCTCGTTTTAACGTTTTGTTTTTACCTTTTTGACCCGGTAATGGTGCAACCGCAATCCGCCGGCCGGAATGCGTTTTGTCCGCGCTCGACGCTTTTTTTTTCCTTGTTTTAAGAAATTGATCTTTGGTCTCCTATAATACAATACGTACGCATTCCAATTCGACGTTTATAACTTATTTTGACGCCGTAATTTTTTGGCTAGTTTTTGAGAAAATTTTGGTCGTGAATCTTTACCGTACGGTTAATAGGATCTTCCGGCTGCTGCCGTCTTGTGTGCGCCGCCGCCTGTAAATAGCGCTGTGATGACGTCTTATCCTTTGTGCTTTTTGCCCCTCAAGTAGCCACGTAAACTACCCCCTATGCAAGTCTCTCAAAGTTCGTTTAAAGTTAAAATTGTAATCGGAGTGGTCACTGTCACTTTTGTATATGTGGCAATTTATTAGACTGATTTCAAAATCTTCGTCAGGTCACTAAGACAGCCGTGCTCTTTAATTCCACTAAAAAAATTGTCTATCGGAAGTTCCTACAATTTCGTCAAATATTTAAATTGCTCGAATTTTGTATAAATTCGAAATTTAGGTGATAGGGTGCGCGTATATTCCGACGGCCGGGCATTGGTTGGTACCATTGTCGTCGTGACACATGTCTAGAGATATTGGTTAGAAGTTTAGAACGATGCGTTTTCTGTGAACCGCTTGATAATGCGTCATTTTTCAGTTCATTAACCTTGTTGCATTATATAGTATTTTTGCATTTCCGTTTTGACATAAATTGCATACCACGCAAAATCAACTTTTAATTATTAGTAGCCATTCACGTGTGTACACGTGGAAGTGACTTGATTTTTTTTTTATCTTGTTTATTACCCTTGCCATGTTTTGGTATAAACATTTTTCGTCTTATCTAGACTTTTTCAAATTAATTAGTATCATTGATAGCTATTTCAGATAAGCTGATCAATATTAATTACCATCTATTTATTTCATTTGGAATTTTCTAACCATTATGTAATAATTTCCAGTGTTTTTTAAATTTAATTTAAGTAATAACTGATTTGTATGTTATTGAGTTTTTACAACTTCAAAAATTTTTTTTAGATTAACCATGGGTAAAGAGAAGGTACATATTAACATTGTTGTCATCGGACACGTCGACTCCGGTAAATCAACCACAACTGGTCATTTGATCTACAAATGTGGTGGTATTGATAAACGTACAATTGAAAAATTCGAAAAGGAAGCCCAAGAAGTAAGTCTTTTGTAGAAAATAATCAAAACTGAATGAGTTATAATTTAAAAAAATATAATTTTAGATGGGAAAAGGTTCTTTCAAATATGCATGGGTATTAGACAAACTGAAGGCTGAACGTGAACGTGGTATCACCATTGATATTGCCTTATGGAAATTCGAAACTGCCAGATACTATGTCACCATCATTGACGCACCTGGTCACAGAGATTTCATCAAAAACATGATCACTGGTACTTCCCAGGCTGATTGTGCTGTACTTATTGTCGCTGCTGGTACTGGAGAATTCGAAGCTGGTATTTCTAAGAATGGACAAACTCGTGAACACGCTCTATTGGCTTTCACCTTGGGTGTAAAACAATTGATCGTTGGTGTGAACAAGATGGACTCTACTGAACCACCATACAGCGAAGTATGTATTAAATTACTTAATTATGATTATTTATCAAAATTAATAATTGTTTATTTTTAGAGCCGTTTCGAAGAAATCAAGAAGGAAGTTAGCAGTTACATCAAGAAAATTGGTTACAACCCAGCTGCTGTTGCTTTCGTGCCCATCTCAGGATGGAATGGAGACAACATGTTGGAAGTTTCCGAAAAGATGTCGTGGTTCAAGGGATGGGCCGTTGAACGTAAAGAAGGAAAGGCTGACGGTAAATGTTTGATTGAAGCTTTAGACGCTATCCTGCCACCCAGTCGTCCAACTGACAAGGCTCTCCGTCTCCCACTCCAGGTATGAATAAATTAAAAAAAATTTTTAATTATCTTTTTATATATAAACTATCTAACCTGTGTTTATTTATAGGATGTCTACAAAATTGGAGGTATTGGAACAGTCCCAGTAGGTCGTGTAGAAACTGGTCTTTTGAAACCTGGTATGGTTGTGGTTTTCGCACCAGCAAACATAACCACTGAAGTTAAGTCCGTGGAGATGCACCACGAAGCTTTAGTAGAAGCTTGCCCAGGAGACAATGTTGGTTTCAACGTAAAGAACGTTTCAGTCAAAGAATTGAGACGTGGTTTCGTTGCCGGAGACACAAAGAACAACCCACCCAAGGGTGCTGCTGATTTCACTGCCCAAGTAATTAACTTCTATAGTTAAAAATAAATTATGTCTTAAACAATTATTACAATTGTCATATCTGTATTTTTAGGTTATTGTATTGAACCACCCTGGTCAAATTTCCAATGGATATACTCCAGTGTTGGATTGCCACACTGCCCACATTGCTTGCAAATTCGCAGAAATCAAAGAGAAATGTGACCGTCGTACTGGTAAAACTACTGAAGCTAACCCAAAAGCCATCAAGTCTGGAGATGCTGCCATCATCAACTTGGTACCATCCAAGCCTTTGTGTGTTGAGGCTTTCTCAGAATTCCCTCCCTTGGGACGTTTCGCTGTCCGTGACATGAGGCAAACTGTTGCTGTTGGTGTCATTAAGGTAAATTTCGACACAAATACATTATAATATCTTTCATTACCCTTGTATGTAGTAAACTTAACAGGAAAATTGTTTAAACCTTACAGAGTGTAAACTTCAAAGATTTGTCAGCTGGCAAAGTAACAAAGGCCGCTGAAAAGGCCCAGAAGAAGAAATGAATAGGCGTAGCAGTAGCGCACACACGTCCTTCAGTTAGGTCAAATGGAAGTTGGCATAGGTGTCGGAAACCATCCCAACTTCTAATACTATCCAAATGGCTGTTGCAACCTTGTTTTCATCGTAAAGAATTTCGCAGGAAAAAATCGTGTTGTGCTACTCAATATCATAATAACTTTGTTTTTATTTTTTATTTTCAAGAATTTTTAAATTTTGTTTTAGTTATGTTTAACTGAGTGATAGGGATGACATAATTTTAAAAATATTTTTTTTAGTTAATGTATTTATAATGCATTATAATTTAAAAAATATTTTTTTTAAACTTAGTTTACATTCTATGAAGTTATAATTTGTATCTTATACATATTTTTTTTTACATACGATTTTAATTACTGCATCTGTGACTAATCCATTTGGCCAAACTGAAAGCATTAGCCGCCGCCTATACCTTGTGTTAACATTTGTCTAAAAACATCAACAAATAAAACACTTAATAACTATTTTCTTTCCATTTATTCAATGTTTTTGTTTATTTATTTTCAGGTTCCTACTTATAATCTGGTAGATCTTGTAAGATTCTATTCCTCTTTTCCTGATTGACTTAACATAATATGGTTAATTGTAATATAATGGCTTTTCCGTAATTTATTTTTCATTTATAACAAATTGTTTCTGACCAATACTAATATAAGATTTTATAATGCTACGTTATTTGTATTACATGTATTTTAAAAATTAATTTGGTGGCTTAGCCAATGGCTGAAACTAAACCAGGGCTTGAAACCGGTAACTGATTTTTCCCGGTAACCGGTTACCATGAGTACTTTTTGGACTGGTATCCGCTTCCCGGTTCTCGAGTTTCAATTTTGAGAAGCGGTTATCAATTACCGGTAATCACGGAATTTGATAAAGGGGGAAATCTATAACGGTAACCGTTTATTTTTAGAACCGGTTAATTAATCGGAAGTATAAAATCTCAAACCAATTAACGTAAAAATAATTTTTTTTTAATTATATTGAATATTCTATATAGAAGAAAATAATATTTATAAAATACTAAAATAAATTATTTTAGAACTACTAAGTATTAAAATTTAAAATTACCAAAACAAGCGTGTTTGATTGTGGAATCGTATCGGCGCACTAACAAAAAATTCTCAGTAGTCAGTACCTATGATATAGGTACTGAATAATGATACAGTGATACGAATGGTAGAAACATCGACGAATGCGGGCTGATACATATATAATATATATATAATAGTATATAACTCTTGCATAGTTGCATGTACGATATTGTACCAAGTACTAGGTAATAATTAATAGGTACCTTATAACTTATAATCAGGGACTGTTTTGATATTCATTATTTAATAATAAGTTAGTTACATTAGTTCGAAATAATAGTAATACTAAACAAAACTGTGTAGTACTATACTAAACATGTTAAGTTTGATGAAAAAAAATAGAGTAGGTATTAAAACAAAAAAAAAATGGTTTTGTGAGGTAACCGGTAATTTTGAAGATTTAAAACCGCTTCCAAATAGATAACCGGTAATCCCATTTATAAAATTTATTTCGGTAAGCGGGAAATGATTATCATTATTTCTAAAAACCTCGATAACCGGTAACCGGTTCCAAAAAATTTTTCGGGTCCTATCGGACCCGGTAACCTATTTCTTCAGGAGCGGTTTCAAGCCCTGAACTAAACCCTATGGCAGATGTGTGTTTCAAATGTACACCCCATATACTCCATCCGCCGAGATTTTCCTCACTCCCTTTTTGGTCCAACAGATTAAACCTAATTGATATTAATAAAAGAAAAAAAAAACTGGGAAAGTGGGTATCTCTGTACAGTAGGTCACAATTGGATCACTGTAATCTGGAATGAATAGTGTTAAATTTGAATTCAATGATATAGTATCATTGTATAAGAAAAACGATTCTGAGCGAAGACAGTGGCTATAATATTACTATGTACCTATATTATCTTTGATGATATTTTTGTGAATAAAGTAATTTATTTACCTTTTTACGTAGAACTTTGTTTTAAATTTTCAATCCTTGGCTATAACATTTTATACATTTTTAACTACAACATAATTTTAAAATTAAAAATTCAACACATTTTGTCAAAATTCGAACTTTCAATACTTATAAAAAAAAATTTGCTTGTATGTATTTTAAAAATTTTTCAACTGGTAAAATAAAAATATAGCAGGAGCATTGTATTAAATGTTGATGCTTTTTGGCCCAACAAATGACAAAGAAAAAAACTAAAAAAAAATTAAAATATCCGTAGTAAACAGCTCAAAGCAGGTCAAAATATTTTGTATATATTATTAAGTAAGGGAATTGATAAGTTGTTATATGCTGTAAAATTCAAGTATCTACAGTTATTCGTGATTGAATTACAACAAAATAAGAAAATCGCTACATGTCAACATGAGAAATCGAGAGAATATCCAATGATGTAAAAATTTAATTTGACTTTCCGGTAGATATTTTTTTTTTGATAAAGGTAGACATACTTCTGAGGAATCTTGTATTAAATTTTCCAATGTTAGATTTAAAAATAAAATTTTTATGTATTTTTAACTCAAAATAATTTGCACATTTTCGTATTTTGTCAAATTTGAACTTTAAATGCTATAAGAAAAAATTGTGACTGTATATTTAACATTTTTCAAATGTCATTGTTACAAGCTAAACACAACTCAAAATATATTGATCTTGTGAATTTTATCGTTTACAGAAATTAATGCTAATATAATCATTCAGTGAAAATTTCATGTATCTACTGTTAGGTATTTGTTTTAGTTATAAAAAAAAGTTGATTTTGTTAAAAACTGATTTTGCTTAAAAATTCCTATTTCGTTATTCTTGGTGCTTTTAAAACTATTGGAATTTTAAATTTTGACCTTCTGAAAGAACCAACTGTATTCACTTTCCCATCGATTGAGATATATATATAGACATATAGGTACTGTTGATGAAAATCGAAGCAGTTGTACTGCCCCAAATACGGTGGTCGGTGATGACAGAAACAAAAAAAAAATTTAAAAATGTATTAAAACACATCATCCACACATCGCTTCGCTCAGAATCTAAAAAAAATATTGTTACACCTTTCTATTTTAGAATTTTGAATACAAATGTATTTTATTAGTGGCTTAGTTTGCCTTAGATGACAGGGGGTGCCCGAGCACCCATAGCCCCCCCCCTGAATCCGCGCTTGCTCAATGATTATACCAAGTATCAGTGGCGCAACTAGAAAAAAATTCCGTGGTGGGGGGGTTAAAATGTTACAATATTACAATATATATATGTCATGTACACATAAGCTAAAATATACTAGGCCTCGGAGAAATTTCGGGGGGGGGGGAGAGTGGTCACTATTCTGCAGATATTACTACAAGTTAAGAACAATTATTTTAGTTATTGTCAGTATAGATAAGTATTGGGTACTAAGGTACCTATAGATTATAGTAGATGTAATTTCCGGTACAGATGTTTATTAACGTTTAGCCCAAACGAAAGTTAGTACAGTCTACGGGTGCTTGGTATATTAATAATTAATGAAGAATTTTCGAATTACAAAAGATGTTCATTCGCATGACCTAATACAGTAATACCTATAGTTCTAATTTCGAAGACCACTGTATAATAATGTGTAGAAAAACGCATACATTTTAATCACTTTATTATTATACATATTATTCTATAATTAACAATGTTTTTATTTATGATAGTAATTAAAGCAACATAGATATACTAAATAATCTCTAATCCGATACAAACTATATGAACGAAATACAAAGTTCTGTAAAAAAGAGATACCTATAGGCTATAGGTATATTTGCGAAGTAAACGATTGTTTATAGAATTTACTTATTTTACTTTTTAACAATGTATTTAACAGAACTACTGTAAAGTATGCAATATATTACACGAGTACATAAAATTCACTTTATATTAGGTAGAATTTATATATTTGAGTATGGTATTATAGCACATTATGTGTAAAAGGGTACATAATTGGTGAAATATCGTCCAATTAAAAGTAAATGAGATAGAGGTACAGGAGGTCGAAGGGTAAATTGTTGGGCATTTAGCTTTTAACTAAAACGGAGTTAGTTGAACGGATTAACTTAAGCACTTTAACAAGGGATTTAATTTTCATTATAGATTTTAAACTTCCAGCGGAGTAATTAGGTACCTACTATATGATTGGACTCTATAGAGATAATGCCTTGCTAATTAACTGTATATAATAATCTTAATTTTTTTTACCAAACCAAATTACGTATATTAATATTATTTATTAATATGAATAATTATTAATAATAATTTCAATTTCTATACCTTTTTTTTTTTTTTTTTTATTTATTTGAAGAAATCTACAATCTATACATGCTTTTTGTACAATAAGTAGGTTTGATATAAGAAAGGTAAAAATATGATATGATTAGTTAGATTAGGGAAGATACCCAGTGGTAACACCCTATGACATGAATAACAATGAAGAGAGAGAGAAGAGAGAGAAAAAAAAATATATATATAGTTATATAATATAAGACAGTAAATAAGTAATTAATTTGAGGTTTGGAGGTGTTACCTGGTAGCGACCTCCAGCACTTATTAAGCTCACTTTTCAAAGAAGATCTCTACACCATTGCCTTTTTAGTCTACGGCGCGGGTTACCAGGGAGTGAGTTGGTTGATAGTTTAGAGATTAGTGGATTTGTGTGATGTTGAAATTTGTTGTGGAGTCTGGTGTAATATAGTTTGGAGATTTGGTTAAGATTTTGGATTTTGAGATCTTTGTGGAGATTATTGTTGGTTAAGTACCAGGGTGCTGATGCAACTAGGCGAAGGCATATTGACTGAAAGGCTTGGATTGTACGGGTGTTTGAGGGTTTAGCGGCACCCCATAATTGGATGCCATAAGTCCATAGTGGCCTGAGTAGTGACTTATAAATTAGAAGTTTGATGTTGATATT